GCAAGTTCATATCCTGTTGCTGAAGCATTCCTTTTGAATTGAGTAACAGAACTCAATTCTTCAGGATTCCAACGTAGACTGGAGACTAGCAACTTTCTAGGAATCCTCTGAGATTCTAGTACCAGTTTGAGACTGCTGTAATGTCCATTTTTGTGGTCTTTCTGTTGAGAGAAGAGACAGACTAGCAGCACCACAGCCTGTAAGTCACTCTTATAAATCCCTTCTTTATATCCATATTCATTCGATCAGTTCCATTTCTCTAAAGAAGCCTCATTATTGAAATTTAAGCCTAGAGATAAAATCTGGGAAATTCAAAGGCTTCATGGATATTAGCTCTTCCTGTCTTTTAAACAAGATCTCTATTGGTTTTGATTTTGGTTTAAGTTTATGTGTATGTGTGTTTTGCCTATATGTTTTCATGTGTACCACATGCATGCCAGGTGCTCAAGTAAGCCAGAAGAGGGCACCGGATTTCCTGGAAATGGAGTTATAGACAGTTGTAAACAATCATATGAGGGCTGGAAAATGAACTCAGGTTCTCTCCAAGTGCAACAAATGCTTTTAACTGCTGAGCCATCTTTCCAGCTCCAGTGAGGTTTGTTTTCCTTTTTAGACATTTTTTTCCTTCCTTCCTTATTGGTATGTCTGTCAAGGTACAAATAAGGGAGTCAGAGAAAGACTTGCAGGAGTTGGTTCTCTCCTTCTATTTGGGTTCTAGGGATCGAATTCAGGTTGTCAGGCTTGGCAGTAAGTGCTTTTACCCGTTTAGCCATCTAGCTGGCCCCCTTTATAGTTTTTTTTTCTTTATAAAGCTTCCTAGAAGCTGGGCGGTGGTGGAGCATGCCTTTAATCACAGCACTCAGGAAGCAGAGGCAGGAGAATCTCTGTTAGTTCGAGGCCAGCCTGATCTACAGAGTGAATTCCAGGACAGTCAGGACTACACAGAGAAACCCTGTCTTGAAAAAACAAAAAACAAACAAAAAAAGTCCCCTAGATTTCTGTGTATAAGTCTTTTATAACCTCCAATAACTTCAACCATGGCTACTGGAGTGATTTGGGTACTATGGTAAATGCTATCTGACCCAACCTTCCTTTCTGTCTTCCTTTTGTTTTTTGGAGGGAACCTAGGACCTCACACAGCTAAGCAGGTCCCTACTAATGAGATAAATGCTACATCTATTTAAACAACAACTTCAAATTATTGATGGTATAGAGAAAAACAAGTTAACTTCTATACTGAAGCATACAGCTAGTCCCTGTGATCTGTTCTTTCACGTTTACTCTCAGAGACAAAAGGTAGTCTATAAAATTGTTTTACTCCCTCCTCTTAACTTGCTTAGCCTTCAGTTGTTTTTTTTTTTTTTTTTTTTTTTCTGAACAGCCTAGGAGTCACAGCTGAAAGCTGAGAGCAATGTGGAAAAACACAGCTTTTATCTTTTACATGCTTCTTCCTTCCCAAGTAAAAAATTGTTTCCTCCGTAATATTTTTTTTTGTCCTTTCTCTTTGTATTAGTCAGGGTTTTCTAAAGGAACAGAACTGATAGACTGCAAATGTGTGTGTGTGTGTGTGTACACTTATATATGTTATTTATTAGAGTAATTTACAGGCTGCGGTCCAGATAGTTCAACAATGGCTGCCTACTAATGGAAAGTCCAAGAATCCAATCAGTTCAGTCCACGAGGCTGGATGTCTCAGCTGGTCTTCAGTATACATCAGAACCCTGAAGAAGTAGACTCTGTAGGCAAGTGAAGGAATGGACTTGCCAGTGAAAAGTGAGAACAAGCAGGCAAAGGGACCCTTTTCCATGTCCTTACATAGGCAGACACAGAAAGTGTGGCCCAGATTAAAGGTGGATCTTCCCATCGCAGAAGACCCAGATTAGAAGTGGATCTTCTCACTTTCAGTGATTTAATTAAGAAAATAATTTCACACAGATGTACCACACTTGGGCTTTAGTTAATTCCAGATGTAGTCAAGCTGACAACCAAGAATAGCCATCACACTCTTCTGGTACACTGCTTTACCAGGTGGATTTTCTTCACTGGCCAATACTGCAGTTCTACTTGTTTTTGTTTCGTTTTGCTTTTGAGACAAGCACCTCACTATATTGCCCTGGCTGGTCTTAAAGTCACTGAGATTTGCCTGCCTCTGCTTCCTGAATGATGGGACTAATAAGGTACGTGCCACAATGTCCAGCAATATTGCAGTCCTTTTTGCTTGTCTGTCACTTCCCTTTTTCTTCTGTAGTTTTTTTGTTTTTTGAGATAATATTGCTTTGGAGATCAGGCTGGTCTTGAATTCATTTTCCAGGTGTGCAACAGCATGTCTGGCTATTTCAAGTATGGCCTTGTAAATAATATGCATATAAATGTACATTCAAGATTTTTACTATCATTTAATACAATGGTTTTCAACCTGTGGTGGGTCATGAACTCTGAGTGGGGTGTCCTAATAACCCTTTCACAGGGGTTGCAGAGCAGATATTCTGTGTATCAGATATTCATATTATAATTCATAATAGTGGCAAAAGTTGTTATGAAGTAGTAACAAAACAATTTTATGGTCAGGGGTCACCATAACATAAGGAACTGTATTAAAGTGTCCTAAAATTAGAAAGATTGAGAACCACTGTTCTAACAGATACTTTTATTTTCATTTAGTTTTTTTTACTAGGCTGACCTGTAGTTACTAAGTAGCCAAGGTTGGTTTTGGACTTACAATGATCCTACCTCAGCCCCCTGAGTGCTGGAATCACAACTATGGGATACTGCACCTTTTTATTTGTGGTTACTGACCTATTTTTGTTTACCATATTCCATTTTTTAAAAAAGATTTATTTATTTATTATGTATACAGTATTCTAAGTACTCTGCCTGCAGGCCAGAAGAGGGCACAGATCTCATTACAGATGGCCATGAGCCACCATGTGGTTGCTGGGAATTGAACTCAGGACCTTTGGAAGAGCAGGTGATGCTCTTAACCACTGAGCCATCTCTCCAGCCCCATATTCCATTTTTTTTAACAAAAGATTTATTATTTATGCACATGTGTGTCTGTCTGTGGAGGTCAGAAGAATTCAGATCTCCTGGAGCTGTAGTTACAGGAGATTTTAAGCCACTCTTGTGAATACAGGACACTGGAATTTTGGTCCTCCGGAAAAGGAACAAGTATTTTTGACTGCTAAGCCATCTCTCCAGCCCTATTTCTATTTTAATTATATGTAGATGTGTGTGTCTTTGTCAGGGTATATATACCTGAGTATATGTGCCCAAAGAGGTGAGAAGATGATACCAGGTTTCTTGGAGCAGCTGTGAGCTACTGACATGAATGCTGAGAATCATACTTGGTCTTAGGGCTAGAGCAGTATGAGCTCTTAACTGATGAGCCATCCATCCCTCTAGTCCCTACTTATATTTTTGGAGAAAGGTTTTCACTGTGTAATCAAGATTAGCCTCAAATTTGTTATCACCTTATCTCAGCTTTCCAGGTAGCTGGAACTACAGGAATGCATCATAATGCTCAGTTTCAGTCTTGGCTTTAGTTCCTGGCTTTCTTATCATCTGTTCCCAGATATTTGTGGCCAGGAATGTAGGGGCTATTGGACTGGTGGCTAAGCACCTGTAAACTAAGGCATCTAGGAGGCTGAGGCAGGAATATCATGAGTTCAAGGCCTGCCTGAGAATCTTAGATCCTATCTCAAACATGGGGATAGGGAAGCTACTCAGCAGCAGAGCATTTGTTTGGTGACCAGTCTCACACCAGCCTACATTCCAGGCCACAAGTACCTGGGAACAGATGCCAAGACAGCAAGGCATTTAGCACCTCTTCCCCATGCTAGGGATCAAATCCAGCAGGGATGCTAAAGTTGAAAGTTTCAGAATGCAGATTTGGTATGTGGTCCCTCTGGAGTTCCTTACAGTCTATGACATCAAAGCAGAATCACCTGTATTGACTTTATATCTAACCACCTTGCCCAGACACTTTAAAAATTCAAGTGGGATATGGTGAGGTATATCTATAATCCTACCAATAAGAAGAGAGAAGCAGGAGGCCCGCCTGGATTATAGGAGATCCTGTCTTTAAAATTAAACATACAAAAAATTACTGAAAAAAATAAAAAATTAAATTAATTTGCTCACAAGCTCTTTTGGACTTTTTTTTTTTTTTTTTTTTTTTTTTTTTTTTGGTTTTTCGAGACAGGGTTTCTCTGTGGTTTTTTTTGGAGCCTGTCCTGGAACTAGCTCTTGTAGACCAGGCTGGTCTCGAACTCACAGAGATCCACCTGCCTCTGCCTCCCGAGTGCTGGGATTAAAGGCGTGCGCCACCACCGCCCGGCTTGGACTTTTTATAAATATACTTAAGCCACCGAGCAGTGGTAGCGCATGCCCTTAATCCCAGCACTTGGGAAGCAGAGGCCGGTGGAGTTCTGTGAGTTTGAGGCCACTAGGTCTACAGAGTAGGTTCTAGGATAGGTAGAGCTGTCACACAGAGAAACCCTATCTTAAAAAAAAGGGGGGGGGTATTTTCTTGTTGCCACAATTTATATAGTAAATGAAACATCCTTGAATATGGTCCCAATTAGGTTGGTCACCAGAATAGCTGCGTGTATCTTTAGTGTTACTTTTCTCCTTAAAGAAGGTCATGTTAGTATGTTCAAATGCCACATGTACATGAGACTCACCTGCAAGGTGCCTAAGAACACGGGAGGCTAGAATCAGAAGTAGCAGTTTTGGAAGTTAAGTGAGTCTGCTGAATCAGGCTCAACCAGGGGAACCACCATCAACATAGACAAAATGAAAGAGGAGAGAGAAAACCAAGTGTGTACGTAAGAGCAGGTGTATGGGGTAGGGAATAGATTTGGGCTGTTTGCTATTTGGCTTGTTCATGATATTCATCCAGGGTGACAGAAATGTCACAGGAAGGTCACAGGAACAGAAAAACGAGATAAGCTCAGCAACCAGGAACCTAACAATGTCCTGACATGCAAGCCTTGTGTTACCTTTTGAAATACTCCACCTCCCGCTCAGTCTCATCCATATCCACACTGTCCAGGTCGATGTCTTTAGGCAAGAAAACATCATCTGTAAAGTAAGGGAAGGAGACACATCACATTATCAAGAGTGGATATCTCACCAGGATAAACACTGCACAAAGTATTTAATGCAAGATTCTGCAAAAGGCCAGAAGGGCAGATTGCTCTTGTGAATCCCTAAAGCTACTCACCCATCTGCCAAACTAGCCATTACTGCTTCAAAAACCCACCAAAAAGATTCCCTGAAGGAACCCCGACTCAGAACTTAGGACTTTCCAAATCAAGAGTGCTGCCCTACTTTCCTTTGCAAGGCACCAGAGGGTCATTAGTTAAGGGACATTCATTCTACTTCCCAGGACCTCAGCCATGTCTGAGAATTTCAACATTTGTCCCCTGTTGTGCCCAGGTCTGACTGGACATTGAGTCTCTTCCCCAAGTTCAGCTCAAGGTTCCAAGTATGCAATATCAATGAAAATGGAAAGGTAGAGGTAGTTCACAGTTCTTTGTTAAGAATGAGCTTCAGTCACCCCAGATCATCACCCTAGTTCCTTCCATCACAGGCTTTTCCACAGTGTCCTTATTAAGGCACATCTCACTTGCTTAATAACAGCCGCCATTGTGACAACTCACAGGATTAGAGTACCAAGGACTGGGAGCGTCCATTCTGAAAAGAACAGGGCCAGAAGAGGACTCTAGTTATATCTAAACTCAGAAGGAAGGGAAAGACAAGGACACCTGCACAAAACTGCATTCCAAATAGACCCTAAAGATTTAAGCAGTAAAGATTTAAGGCAATAAAAAAAAAAAAAGGAGTACAGACCTAAACAGAGAACTCTCAACAAAGGAATCTAACATGGCTGAAAGACACTTAAGGAAATATTCAACATCTTTAGTCATCAGAAAAATGCAAATCAAAACAACTCTGAGATTCTATCTTACACCTATAAGAATGGCCAAGATCAAAAACACCGATGACAACTTCTGCATTGCTGGTGGGAATGCAAGCTGGTACAGCCCCTTTGGATGTCAGTGTGGCAATTTCTCAGAAAATTAGGAAACAACCTTCTTCAAGACCCAGTAATATCACTTTTGGGTATATATCCAAAAGGATGCTCAATCATACCACAAGGACATGTACTCAACTATGTTCATAGCAGCTGTTTGTCATAGCCAGAACCTGGAAACAACATAAATGCCCCTTGACCGAAGAATGAATAAGGAAAATGTGGTACATTTACACAATGGAGTACTGCACAGCAGAAAAATAATGACATCTTGAATTTTGAAGGAAAATGGATGGAGCTAGAAAACATCATTTTGAGTGAGGTAACCCAGACACAGAAAGACAATTATCATATGTACTCACTCATAGGTGATTTTAAAACATAAAACAAAACGAGCCTACAAACCACAATCCCAGAGAACCTAGACAACAATGAGGACCCTAAGAGAGACATATATAAATCTAATCTACATGGAAAGTAGTAAAGGACAAGATCTCCTGAGTAAATTGGGAGCATAGGGACCATGGAGAGGGTTGAAGTGGAGGGGAGAGTCAGGGAGGGAAGCAGAGAAAAATGTATAGTTCAATAAATAAAAAAAATTAAAAAAAATTTAAGCAGTAGTAACAAAAAGCACAGAAAGAAGTTGGCATGGCAGAGAAGACATGTTATTCTAGTCAGTATAGCCTGGCTACATAAAAACCTATCTTAAGAATAGAAAAAGGCTAGCAGGGCAGTGGTGGTGCACACCTTTAATCCCAGCACTCAGGAGGTAGAGACAGGTGGATCTCTGTGAGTTCAAGGCCAGCCTAGTCTACAAGAGCTAGTTTCAGGACAGGAACCAAAAGCTAAGGAGAAACCCTGTCTCGAAAAATCAAAAAAAAAAAAAAAAAAAAAAAGGCAAAATAGCCAATGAGATGGCTTATTGAGAAAAAGCACTTGTTGCCAAGTTCTGACTGCAATAATGTAGGAGAGAACCAACTTCTGTGAGCTGCGTACTGACCTCCATACTTGCTCTGTAGCAAGTATGTGTTAATGTGCTCCCGAAAACAAGTTAATAAATGTAAAAAGGAGAATAATAAATAACCAAAAGCAAAGATGATCATGCAAACCATGAAGTGACAAAAAAGCTCTGGCCTTGTCTGGAGAAGACATGCTGTAGGTGTGTGAGGATGCAGTTCAGCAGCCTCTTCTCAGCCTCAGGACAAGGGTAAGCACACCACACACTGAGCACAGCGGTGCAGGTGTAGTATTCCAGTGTCTAGTGTATGCTCTCCTAAGCAGAATTAGCAGTCTCAGACTGAGAAAGTAAGCTTAGCTTAGGAGCTTCTACGCAGTATTCATGAAACTCTGGGCTCAATCTCCAGTACTACATATAAATTGGACATGGTGGTACATCCCATGTAATCCTATAATCCCAGGACTCAGGTATAGGCAGGAAAATGAGAAGTTCAAAGTCATTGTCAGATACATAGAAAGTTGGAGGTCTGCTTGTATTACATGAGACCCTGTCTCAAAAATATAAGTATTTATAAAACCTTAGTATAAGAAGCTGTGTTTAGTTTTGAGAACAGTTTTTCCACAGCATATTAAAATACAGATGTGACTCAAGAATTTTAAATCCAATGGAACCCTACCGTCACTGTCAATGAGGAGGAATTCAGATGGGAGGAGTCATGTTAAGGCTGTGCTTCACTTATCAGAGGACCAGGGCACTTAGAAGTGATGTCCCAAGAATTACCTAAAGATGCTATATTCAGACAAAGCAGAAGCAATGCAAATAAGCAAGATGAAGAGAAGGAATGGGAATAGCACAGTAGAAAGAGTGGAACTGGGGCTGGGGAGATGGCTCAGAGGTTAAGATCACTGGTTGTTCTTCCAGAGATCCAGAGTTCAATTCCCAGCAACCACATGGTGGCTTACAACAATCTATAATAAGATTTCTGGCTCACTGACAATAACAGAGGAAGGAGGAGGTGTGGTGAATGCCTTGAAGTCAAATAAGGCAGGAGATGCAGGGGACTAGGCACTAGGGTACTGAAGCAGTAAGTATAAAGAATCTACCACAACTGGGACATAGTTTGACCCCACAAATCCACACTGAGGCTTACCTCCTTGTATAGCAGTGCTAGAAGGTGGGGTCTAGAGGGCAGAGCCTCATGAATGACTCTCAGAGGAGTCACCTTCTTCTCTACAGGACCTAGATTATTTATGAAGAGTACATGTTCTGGGGGCTGGAGAGGTCGCTCTACTGCCTTTCCAGGAGATGCCAGTTCAAATCCCAGCATCCATATCAAGCAGCTCATAGCTTAAAGGTAACTCCAGGTTCAGGGAACTCAATGCCCTCTTCTGGCCTCTGTTACATGCACACAGACGTACACAAATAAATAAAACAAATTGGAAAAAAAAAGCGTGTATGTTCTAAAGCAGGCCATCCCTCCATTGGCCTAAGAACCTACCTTCCTTAGGACTTTCCTGTTCTTCCTAGAAGTAGCACAAGGCCCACACAAACATGAGTACAAATCCTTAATTTTCCCTAATCGTCAAATATGTTTAGAAATAAGTGTTGAAGAAAGTATCAGAGAAGAAAACAGCACATACAAAAAATACTCAAAGTAATTACAAGATAGTGATAACATTGATGCCAACTATAAAATTATTATAACAAATGTGAATGATGTTAACTTACCAAAGAAAATTCTCCCCCCCCACCAAATCCTGACAAGGTCCCCATTATATAGTCTGGGCTAACCTTGGGAGTTGTGTGGTAGTACGTCCTTGTAACATTAGTTACTCAGAGATGTGGGATGTCTCTCTCTATGCTTTGAATGTTTTACTACCAATGCTTAATAAAGAAGATGCTTTGGTCAAAAGTCAGGCAGATGCTAGCAGCGGCTGGGGAAGCAAGATATGAGGTAGCAAGCCATGAGCCATGATAATAATAGAAATGGATTAATTTAAGTTGTAAGAGCTAGTTAATAATAAACTTGAACTAATAGGCCAAACAGTGTTATTAATTATTAATTAATTAATTAATTAATTAATATTAAGCCTCAGAGTGGTTATTCAAGAACTGGTGGGTGGAATAGAAACATCTAGTTATACTCAGGGGGTTAAGGCAGGAGGACTTTCAAGTTTGTTGCTAATCTGGAGAACTTAGCAAGATTCTTCCTCCAAAAAAGTGGAGATGCACCTTAGTGGCAGAGTGCTTCTAGTATAAGTATCACAAATGCCTTAAGCAGAAATACATCTGTATCTCAGGTTCACATGAGACATTCACAAAAGCTGACATCTAAGAATTCTGCTCTAGTTAGGACTATAGTCCACAAAGGCCATGGGGCTATTGGGAAGTAATGAAAACTATGGATGTGGGGACTACAGGAAAGAAGTTCGATCATTGGGGGGAACATTCTTGGCTTTTTACCTCTTCCCTCCATCTCTCTGCCTCCCAGTCATTGTAAGTTGGGCTGATTCTATCTGCCATCACATGCTGTTTCACCACAGGCACCAAAGCAATAAGGCTAACTGACTAGAGACGAAAATCTTCAAAACTGAGAGCAAAATAAACTTTTCCTCTTTAGAAGTTGATTATCTCAAATATTCTGTTTTAATAATAGAAAGCTATAATAAGGTTGCAAATGGAGTGATCTATACAATTCAGGATATAGAAAAGTCCAAACACTGTAACCATAATGCAGCAAGGGGAAAGAACACCTAGAAATGAATAGGCCCTTGCACCTAGAAACTCAAGCTGCTAACATGCTCCCAGGTGAATGGAGAGAGAAATCATACACACACACAAAGCTAACAACATGGAAACCATAGACTTTCAAACAACTTCGTGAAAACTTATCTGTAAGACCACAGAGCCAAGTATGGTGACACTAGACTGTGATCCCAGCATTCAGGAGGAGGTGGTGACAGCAGAGATAAAAGCCAGCCAGGCAACATACAAGTGTGCAGCAAGCTTGAGCTCCCTAATAAGACCTTGTCTTAAAAAGATTTTTTTTGGATACAATTAAAGTAATCATCAGAAGAGCCTGTCCTGAGCAAGCAAACAAATCTTAATATACTTTGGAGACTGTATACAAAATTTGAAATTTTAGCTGAAAAGGGAAATTTAAAAACTAAAAAGTCTTTCAAAATTAACCTCATCACATGAAGAAACATAAGATTTCCACGGGGAGAGACAGAATGCTGTTGAGTTTCTAAAAACTCTTATTACTTCGTTCCCATGCAGCCTGAAGGTGTTTCAGAGCTGAAATAAGAAAACTCAAAGCTCTCTAATTCCTTTAAAGAAAGTATAATGATCGACACTCCCACCATGTGCAAATACAGAAGTAATTAAAAACAGCAACAAAAGGGAAAGTTACAGGCCATGACTATCAAGACAATAAAGTAACACAAATAGAATCTCAACCAAAGAATATAATTACCACATGCAAGTGGTAATTATTACAGGAACTTAAGGTTTGTTTAATGTTAGGAAACTAGAATAATAACACTCATGAATAGGCCAGAGAAGAAAAATCATAATTACTGCAGCAGGTGCAAGAAAAACTTTGAAAAACTTCAGCATATTTTCTTCATGAAAACATTCAAGAAATTTAAGAGTCACTGGCTTCTGTCCTAGCATTAGGTGGAATATCTAAGCCTCATTCCAAAGGCCAGCATCTCAGTCAATGTGGAAACATTTCAATCACTTCAGGAAGAATGTGACTCGGTCCAAGGCTTGGAAGAGAGGTTTTGTGTCATGGTGCACACCTTTAATCAGTGCTGGGTACAAAGAAGCAGACAGACCTCTCCAGACTAGCCAGAACTACATAATGAGACCTGTCTCAAGAAACAAAGAAACAAACAGTAACAAAAGACCCCCCCCCCCCCCAAGAAGCAAGAACCCCAAAGACTGGAAATATAGCTAGGTGGATAGAAGCATTAGCTAATCTTCCTGAAGATCCAGGTTTGATTCCCAGTACCCATACAGCAGCTCATTACCATCTGTAACTTGAGTTCCAGGGAAACCTGTCACTCCTTTGGACCTAACAGGTACCAGGCATGCACATGGTAGATAGACATTCATATAGGTAAAACACCCATACACATAAAAAGTTAAAATCAAAGCCGGGCGATGGTGGCACACGCCTTTAATCCCAGCACTCGGGAGGCAGAGGCAGGTGGATCTCTGTGAGTTCGAGACCAGCCTGGACTACAGAGCTAGTTCCAGGACAGGCTCCAAAGCCACAGAGAAACCCTGTCTCGAAAAACCAAAAAAAAAAAAAAAAGTTAAAATCAAGCTGAGCATGGTTATACATGCCTTTAATTCTAGCATGTAGGAGAGAAGGCAAAGGCAGGCAAATCTCTGAGGCCAGCCTGGAAAAAGACACAAATGACTAAAATTTAGAAATAAATAGAAAGTTGGGTAGTAGTGGTGTTTGCCTTTAAAACCAGCACTCAGGAGGCAGAGACAGGTGGATCTCTGTAAGTTAGAGGCCAGCCTGGTTCACAGAGTGATTCCAGGACAGCCAGGGCAGTTACACAGAGAAAAACTCTGTCTCAAAAAACAAAACAAAAAAACGGGGGAAAAAAAAGAAATGAAAGGGAGATGACATTGTAACATAAATAAATGATATACAGAAAGTCTTAAGGATCTATTTTTAATCTCTATTCCACTAAATGGGCAATATAAAAGAAATGGATAGATTCCCAGATGCATACAACATTCTTAAATCAAAGAGACAAATAATTCAAATATATCTATAGCCAGCCACAACATTGAAATAGTAATAAAAAGCTTCCCACATTAGAAAAAGCCCAAGACTAGATGGAATTGTAGTAGAATTTTATCTAAACTTCAAAGAAGAACTAATGTCAATACTATTTAAATTATTCTATAAAATAGGAAAGTAAGGCTTCCAAACTCTTCTGAGTCCAGTATCACTTTGATACCAAGACCAGATAAAGGCATAACAACAATAGTAGAAGAGCTGGGTATGGTGGCACACACCTTTAGTCCCAGCACTTGGGAGGCAGAGAAACAGGGGATCTCTGAGTTCAAGGCCAGTCTGGAGAGTTCCCAGATAATCAGGTCTACGCAGAGAAACCGTGTCCTGAAAACAAACAAAACCCAAACCAAAATAAGCAGATCAAAAGAAAGAACTATAAGAGTGGGACCAGTATGTAGCTAGTTGGTAGAGGACTTGTCACAAAGCCCCAGGTTCAATTCTCACTACTGCATAAAAAGGGAGCGGTAGAATATATCAATAATTCTAGTATTTAGGAGGTCAAATCAAGAGGGTCAGAAGTGCAAGGTCACTCTAAGCTACATAAAGGGAGTTGGAGGCTATCTTGAATTACATAAGACATTATCTTAAAAAAACAAAAAACACAAACCACAGAGCAGCAACAACCACACACACAGACTGAGAGAGAACGAGTCCAGTGTATGTGAGTAGGGGAGTACACATCAGTCATCCCTGCCTACAATTCACGATGTGCCTACACCCGTAAACTACAGTGAATAATAAGACCTGAACAGTGAGGCAATTTAGTAAAGCAAAAGATGTGAAGTGTACACACACACAAACAACAACACAGCTTCACATAAACAACCAGTTAAGCGGCACTGGCTAATAGAAATACAATTTGAGCCATATATGTTTTTAAGAGTCATATTTTAAATTTTAAATTTTAAAATGAAACATTACATTATAATTAATATGAAACTGTATTATGGTAAAGTATGTAGCTCAGGGGTACAGTGCCTTTCTAACATGCACAGGCTATGAGTTTCAATCTTAGCACTGAAAAATAAATACATGGAGATATTTCATCCATTTTAAAATTAAGTTCCAAAATACAATACGTACTTTATAGTTATACTCACATTATAACTCATATAGAAGAACAGCAAAATTCCAAAACAAAACAAAAAGCACGAAGAGGTGAGAAGAGCCAGTAAAATACAGAGACTAAAAATAACAGTTCAGAGCAATAAACACAGGATAGATCACTAAGCACATACACAGACCTGCTGCAAAAGGGCAGCACTGTAGGCCATGGGGACAGGATGAGCTTCTTCATAAATGCTTCAAGACAACTGTGTAACCATTTAGGAAAAGAGAACAATGAGCCCATACCTTACCTCATACCCAAGAATAAACCCCAACTGTATTCAAGATCTCTATGAGGGGGAGGGAAAAGAAACCATACAAACTCTAGAGAAACATGTGTATCTTCTTCCCAGTAAATCAAGTCCACAAGAAACTTAAGAACTAGGAGAAAATCTTGGCAGCACTGGACACAGGTGGAAACTCATATCCCTAATTTGTAAAGATTTCTTAAACAACAAAATTCTAGATGAAAAACAAAACAGGTAAAACGTATGTGTTGGAAAGTTTTTTATCAGCTTTACACAGGCTAGAGTCATTTTGGAAGAGGGAAACTTTAGAAAATGACTCCACTAGGCTGGCCTGTGAGCAAGCCTGTGGTGCATTTTTCTTGATTGATGTGTGAGGGCCTAGTTCATTGCTTGGTTGCTGCTACTCCTGGGATGGTGGTACTGTGTGTTATAAGAAAGCAGGTTCAGCAAGCCATGAGGAGCAAGCCAGTAAGAAGTACTCCTTTATGGCTTCTTGCCTCAGTTCCTGCCTCCAAGTTCCTGCCTTGAGTTCTGTCCTGATTTTTCTGGATGACAGACATCAAGCTCTAAGATGAAATAAATCCTTTCTCCACAAGCTGCTTTAGTCGTGATGTTCTACCACAACAACAGAAACTCTTAATTAAAACAAGATATGAATAGAAAATATACAAAAAGGCACACAAGCAAACTTTCTATAAAAGTTTACTAACCTTACTGCAAATTAGATGGAAATGGCCATGAAAACCACTCCTAGGAGTGATTCCAGTTAATGGGTTGGTAAAAGCTAAATAGCCTCGCATGAAACTTCAGGCTGGGCTGTGGTGGGTCAGGAGAACACGGGTGGCTTGCAAGAGGGCCTCCTGAATGGCTGGAGGAATGTGGAGGCATCCCATAAAATAACTGTACACTTGCTATCTGAGCAGAACTCCCTTTTCTGAGCAAGTACTCTAAAGATAAACCTGCAGTCAGGAAGACAGACGTGGACAGCATTATACTCAGCATCGCGTGAAATTATAAAGCTCTGGGAACAACCCAATTAACTTTTCCACAAAAATAATGCAGCACATTCGAAACATTTGTAAAAAGCAAGGAAGAGTTCTTTGAACAGTTATGAAAGTGCTCCCCAGAAAAAAAAATTAAGGAAAACCAGCAAAAGGCAAAAGAATATGGAGCATGTTACTTTTATGTACCAAACAGGAAGTGCATACTTCACCAGAGTGTAAGGACAGAAAATTCTGCAACTGCTTCAAGAATGTTCTAGACCCATGTAAGACAGTACCCACGTGAATAGATCAAGTTCTCACTATCCAATGACACCTGAAAACACACACAATGCACTGGAGTGTCATGGGAACTCACTGTGACAGAGAAAACAAAACTTACTAACTTTAAGATGGGAACCATCAATACAAATGCAGTAGAAATGGGCAAATATAACCTCAACCCAAAAAGACCCAGGATGGGATGGATGTTATAGCTGCCGCCTTCCTTACCCTCCAGGTTTGTACCTGTAGATTCAACTAACCACAGATCAAAAATACATTGAAAAAATATTTTGCACTTTTATAGCTTTTTATGTCTAAAATTATTTCAGAATAATAATAATAATGTAACAGCTACAATTATTATTGTGAAAAGCTATAGATAAGCAACATCCCACCTGCAGGGGCCTGCAGAGAGCTCACACACACAAAATAGTACCAGCCAAAGCTGGGAATAGTTCCCTTATGATCTTATTTACCAATTGAACTGCTGGTTCTGTCTCCTTTCTTCTTTTTATTTTTCTTATTCTTGCCCTTGGGCTGTGGAGAACTTGCCAGAATCAGCCTGCCATTCTGCAGGAGCTGACTAGGGGAGGGTGGCTCAGGAGTGACAGTGTTCAGCTTCTCCTCTTTGATGTGGCTCAGCTGCTTTTTGTTGTTGTTGTTGCTGTTGGCCTTTCTCTCCTCTCTCTTCTGCTCTGTGAGGAGAGCAAGGTCAACTACTTTAGGTTTTAACTCAGGCTGGGCCCGGGTCTTGGGCTGTACCTCTGTGGTTTTGGGAGGATCCATGGGCTTCCTGGCTGGCTCATTGCTAGTCTTGCTGGTCTGTTTTAACTTTTGTTTGCTGTTTCCCTCCTTGTGATGATGCATCATGTCCAAGAGAAACGCAAGAGGCTCATGCTGCTTCCCATTGACTTCCTTGGGTAGCAGAAGCTTAGAGTCTCTGGGGTCCATGGGATCTGTGGCATCCCCATTGGCTCCAGGCCCTGGCCTAGGCTCTGAGTGGTTCATATGTCTGGAAGGGGAGTGAGATGAGGTTTCTGGTTCTTCAATTTGTTCTACTGAGCCATTGTGGATGTTTTCGGAGTTAGAGATAGACTCTGCTGCTGCCTGGAAATCTCTAGCGAGCATTTCCAACTTGGAACAGTCTTTACTTGGCCGCTCCTTTTTCTTCTTTTTTGCCGCTCTTAATTTCTGAAGCTCCTGAAGCCGCTGAAATTCCTCCTTGAAACGCTGCTCCTCATCTTCCTCTTCTTCTTCCTCCTCATCCTCCCGTTGCTTTTGTTCTTCCTGATGATGCAGATGCTCCCGTGCTCTGGCCTCAGCTTCCAGGCGTGCCTTCTCTTCCAGCTGTCAATGAAAAAAAAGAGAAGATGGCTTAAGACCATGATAAGAACTCTAAAAGTTGGCAGGGTTGTCAAGGTGGTTCAGAAGGTAAAGGCACTTGCCTGACGAATTTGAATTTGACCCAGACCCACATGGTGGAGACTCATCCTGCAATAGTTGTCCTCTGACTTATATACATATCATGATGCTACCTCCCCTCCACATAAGTAAGACTAATTAAAAAAAAAAACCTTGACATATCGATCACATAATTTTGAAAGAGACAGTAACAACTAAAAACTTAAATATACCTACTTGCAATTATTTCACCCTAGAGAACTCTTGGATCTCATCTATCTACTGAAGCAGACACATATTTTACTGGAACAGGGCAGCTAACAGCATCTGACCAAGAGCTAGATACTGGGAGCAATCAAGGCAACTGTTGCGCTGTGTGTGCAGCACCCAGAGAGCTGACCACTTATTTATGTGGAAGGCAAGGAATCAGCTTACTGACTATATAAGCTCCTGACAAACTTAGCTGTCCAGGTGAGGGCTGAAGCTAACATGGGGAACTGCAAAAATAAGACAAAACCAAAATGTGTTCAAAAACTAAAAAGTAAAAACAAACAAAAACCTTTCCCATGCTGGAAGATAGTCTCAAAATATGCAGACTTTCACAAGGGCAAGGGTTTTCAGAAATATTTACCATCACACAGCAAATGTGCATTTCTGCTTTCCAGCTTGATGGAAAGAAGTTTCACCAACTGAAGATTTCATTTTATTAATGATACAAGACAATGGGTCAGGTCTTGTCACAGACTGGAACCTGGGCGGAGGTGAAAATTGCTCAGGTTTCCACCAAGGGCAGCTGGCTAACTTTACCCTTTATAATGTTGATGTTATTAACTGTCCTTTAACTAGTTGGGCCAGTAGTCACAACAAGAATGTAGGAGGTCTGTTAGGAAAGGCACATACAGGCACTACGGGCCAAGACTCAGTTTCATACCAAGACATCTCCTCATTCTCAGCTTCTAAACCTCAGAGAGTCCTTTCTATTTCCCATGGCAAAAGCTATTCCTTCTGTCTCTTTGGAAGGAAGGTTCCCACAAAGGTGGAGACGCTTGCTGTCCCACTGGACAGGGAAGCCTCCATGTAGACTACTACAAACTCACTGTTAAGAAAACATAAAGTGATATAGCTTCTAGATGAGGCTGTCTGAGACAGACAATCACATTCTCAGAGCACCAGGGCCAGGGCAGGCATGTCAAACAGTCCTGCTTTCTGAAATGTGTACCTGTATGTCCGGAAATGGAGGGTTGTCACTTACCTTCCTCTGCTTGTGCCTTGCTCGTTTGGCTGCACGACTACTACTAACTGGCTTGGCCTCTGAGCTGTTTATAAACTGAAGCAAATCTTCCACTCTCCGATGGTCAACTACACCCTCCCGTTCTGATATCTGCTCCATTTTCTTGGGTTGTTCTTCCTTCCTTTTGGTCAGCCGTAAACGAAGTTTTTCCCTCATTTCTGCATAATTTCTACTTGTTGGTGCAGCTGGAGGCTAAGGTAAGAATATAACTAAATTAGACCTCAAGTTTTAACAACTTTGAATATAAGAAATTTCAAAACTTCTCTCCAAAAATAACTTGTTTAAATTTAATTTTAAAAATTACTTAAATAAATAGCATATAATCATTGCAAAACAAAAATATAGGCAATAATATGAAAGGCCTATTTATTAATGAAAAGACATGTATTTATTTTACCATGTAACCTAAAAGTTAAGTTTTGGCAGCTACCTTTTAACTTGTTATAAACATTTGTGAAAATCCAGCAAAACACAAAATGATTTTTTAAAGCTAAAAAGCCACATACACATATATTTATATGTCTACTTTTACTTAGTATAGTGAGATTATTATCTTCCCCACCACCAGAGTTGAGGACCAAACCAAGGGATTTGCACTGGCTAAGCAAGAGCTCTCCCACTGAACTAGTAAGCTAAAGCCCCAGCTCTGGAATTATCTTTTGATGTTAATAATCGCTTCAATATTTACTTTTCTTCTTAGTGTTTAAAGGGAAATAAAAGGGAAAAACACCTCATTCTCAGTCCTACTACCAATTTCTTACTGTTTAAAATCACACATCTTAGGAAATGGAGATAGAACAAAGCAAAAACAAAATAAATGTACATGTACCTTCATTCCTTATTTCTCCCTCCTTGGGGAACCTTGGGGAACCCTGGTTGCATAAGTACAGCTCCGGCTCTTCAGCGTTGTACAAACATGTAGTGTGCCAATACCTTGCACTCATCCAACAAGGTTACCACTATCCACAGACTGCATGAGCCAAACTATGGTGGGGTTTAGTTAACAACCTACTTCACTGACTACCTAAAAATCTCACAAATAAATACAAAAACACAGGTGGCTTAGTTCTGTAACCATAGCACTGAGGAGCCCAAAGCATAAGAACTCCTGCAAACTTAGGACCGGCCTGGATACGTAATGAGTTCCAGGTCAGCCTAGAATTGGAGAGACATCCTGTCTGAAAAAATAGAAACAAATACCACCAACAAAAACACAGTGATAAGAGAAAACCTGCTGTGATGAAATACTGTTTCTTTGGGTAAGTACAATCTGGAAGTACGTATAAAATCTCAGACATTGATATACTTTGATATTCATCTTCTGCTATCCTCTCTTAAACTCCCTCTGGACCCTTTATTCCCAAAGAGTCTCCTTCCTATCCTACTTTATGTCTTTTTAAATAAATGGCCTACTAAGGAGCTGGAGGGATAGCTCAGTGGCTAAGAGCACACACTGCTCTTCAAGAGGACCCAAGTTCAGTTCCCAGCACCCAGCTCACAATTATCTGTAACTCCAGTTCCAGGAGATCAGATGCCTCTGGTAACCATAGGTACCTGTAGTCACATGAACATACCCACATACAGTTACTCATGACAACACATAATTCAAAATAATAAAAACAAATCTAACACACAATTCTTGCCAAAGGCTGAAAGTCACACAACTGTCAAGTCACAGTACACTAACTATATGCACTTACCCCGCCATGTCCGAAGAACTCACAGTAGCAGCAGTCACAATACTTGCCCTCCTTCTGGTTGGTGGAAGTTGAGGTGCTCGAGCTGTGCTCGGAGCAGCTGTCCTCATCTGCACTCTCATCCCCATCATCCTGCTGCGGGTCATAGACACCATTCTCGCAGCGGTGCCCTTCACAGTCAGGGTCACTGCAAAACCACATACAGAAAATTAGCAAGTAGCCACTCCAGAGGCACTAATTACTCCTCATGCCCACCCACTGTTCAGCTTAATTTTCAGACCAAGGCAGCAAAGAGGGCTCATGGCTCTGGGGTCAGAGAATCATGTGCCACCAGCCAAGACAGTGTGATGAATGGGCTCAGTTAGGAGATATGGCAGACATGTGGTCAGTAGTCATAGCACACCTACAGTGTCACCGGATGGACACATGACTTTTCTGACTTCCCTGAGACCACTGGTTTCATAATGGGGGTTATGAAGGACGTGCTTCTAACAGGCAAAGAAAGTCAAAGGTAACAGAAATGATCTTTTATAAAAATCACTGTGTGTGGTATTAGTTTCAGTACATAAATCTTGTAAATTTTCTGCAGATTCTACCCAATGAATAGCAAAAACAACTTAAAAAAACAAGCAAGGCACACCACACCCTTAATGCCACCAGTGGAGATAGTCAGCATCCCTGACCCTGGTCTTGGCAGCCGGGCCATTGTTCTTTCCTCTGAAGAACTAGAGGCTGAGATTGAGACTGGAGCCTCTCCAACTCCACGGCCTTGGCCTCTGTTGGTAAGGTCTCTTTCTTCTGCACTGGACTTGTTACCTGCCTGGACCCAGAGCACAGTCTGTAGCTATGTTAGTGCAGCATGGCTCCCAGCCCTCCTCACAGGGACCAGGGCTCTGTGACTCACCTGCAGACACTGGGAGGGGCACTGATGGAGCCATCTGTCGTGGAGGGCGGGGGAGCCACAGGGGTAGGACAGAAGCTCTTTCGTGTATCCACGAACCCAGGGGCTGTGGTTGCAGTTTTGGGGAATGATGGGGCAGCAAGATTTGGAAGGTGAGGCGTGGAGGCTGGAGAAAGTGCAGCAGGAGACAAAGCTGGGAGTGGGGCCAGGCCTGTGGGGCTGTTCCTTGGAGCAGCAGGTGCTGAGTGTCTGTGGTCCTCTTTGTTGAGGCCATGAAAAACATCACCTGCAAGTAGAGATACAAGAGAGAATGTCACTGGCTGAAGAAAACAAATATTTAGGTTGCCTTTAATTACATTTCTTTCCCCATTTTTGGGGGTTGGGGGTTGGGGGATGTTCAGACCTACAGAAACCAAAGAACACCCACTCATCTTCATCCTGACTGGTCACATTTATTTTATTTCCCACACATACCAGATCTGGTCCTAACATCTGTAGTAAGCTGTGCTCCAGCCTGAGCTCTTGAGAGCCTACAAGTTTAAAAAGAACCTGAGATTTCTCCACAGTGGGCACCAGCATTCATAAGCCTGGAGGTCAGATTGCACATATAACCTAAATCTAAGCTCCTAACTTTACCAAGGTCATCAAAGCTTCTCTAACTAATTCAGTGGCTGCTAACAATTCCTTTGACAAGATATACGTTTTTCAAGAGGCCAGCTGTCCACTAGTGTGATTTATCTTATCACATCTGGGTGAAACATTTTAGACAAATAGTACTACATAGAGATGAACTACATAGAGAATAAATGACCTTTGTTACTGTCAGGTTTATAGTTGCCAGCTTCCTCCTCAGGGGGTGCCCATCATCACTCATAATGGGTCAGCGTCCATGGAAATGTTGTTTGCCAAACTGATAGTCAGTATTCTTAATGCTTCCTGAAGGACTGGAGATGCGGCACAATGGTAGCACGTTTGTCAATTAAGTGTGAAGATCTGGTTGATGCACTATACTGTGTGCAAGTGTGTACTTTCTCTCTTACACGCATAAAAGGGTGGTATGTGGGCTATTTAGCTGGTTACCATAGTACAAGCCTTGGAAGGCTGAAGAAAAAGGATTGGTATGTGTTTGAGACTGGCCTAAACTTAACACCGAGAGACCTTGTCTCATCTCCCACTTTCCCCAAAACAAAAGAAACACTCTTTTTGAAGCCTGGTGTCAATTATCAACTTGACAGAATCTGAAATCCTCTAGATGGGTGAATGGGCATGCCTCTGGAGGATTATTCTGATTACTTTAATTGATATGGGAAGACCTATCTTAATTGTGAGTTTCGTGAACATGCAGAACTGGATTACATACTTTGAAGATAGTAAACTGAGCATGTGCATGCATTCATTGCTCTCAGCATCCTGATTATGGATGCAATGTGACCAGTTGCTTCAAACTCCAGTAGCCTTCATTTCCCTTGCAGGATAGATATGACCCCTTCTTTCTTGGGTTGCTTTTTTCAGGGTATTTTGTCACAAGAGGAAAAGAAACAGAAATATTCCCTAATTAGGCTGACCTATGTCATCTAATGGACTGCTGACTGCATCACAGAAACTTTGTTTCTACTGTATGCTTCTACAAAGAGAAGTTTCTTAACCTTAGGAGCCTCTCTGAATATCCCAAGGGATTCCCGACTTTGAGTGCCAAGGTTCATCATATTCTTTTTCATGCCCTTCATGATTTTCTCTTTTTTCTTTCTTTTTTTTTTTTTTCGAGACAGGGTTTCTCTGTGGCTTTGGAGCCTGTCCTGGAACTAGTTCCGTAGACCAGGCTGGTCTCGAACACACAGAGATCTGCCTGCCTCTGCCTCCCGAGTGCTGGGATTAAAGGTGTGCGCCACCATGATTTTTTCTGATGCTCAAACTGCTTCAACATTGGTTGATGAGGTACAAACCAGCTCCTGTGTCCTCAGACATTTACCCTAAGTCTTTATAAACATTTCTTTGCTTTAGGTGCCTTCTAACTGTCAATAAGTGATTAGTGTGAGTGCTAGCAGGCTAATAATCTTGTTGGCTTACACAAATCCTCTTTTGCTCCGCAGCAGCTGTGCTCAGAAAGCAATGATCTATGCCCATCACAGAAGACAGAGGCAAGACACAGAGCTCAGCAACCCAAGGGTATTTTGAATGGCAGCTATAATTCCAACCAGAATCCACAGACCATCTTTTTATTTACAAGCACCTTGGGGTGTTTTCATTTCGACCTCTAGAAAGGCAAAACAAACAGTAACAACATGGGTGGTGTAAAAAGTGAGAAGCTGAAAGGCTCTCAGGGTCCTTACCTATGGAAGGCGGCCTTCTGGATGACACCTTGAACTGACTGCTGCTAGATTGCACTGTGGTGGCTGTGCATGACACAGAGGATGTAGCTGAGGAGGTGGCCATGGCGACTGTGTTTGCCATGGCAACTTCATTTGCTTCCATAAAAGCATCCTGGAAATTGTATAAACACTTCTTTTTTGCAGCATTTTTCTTCTCTTTGATATCTGAAACTGCAGAAGCTTCATTGCTGGGTGGAGGTGGAAGGGCTTCAGGTCTTGTTTCTGAGAGCACTGGCCCTAATATATCACTCCCTTTGGAGAAGAATGGGAAAATTAAGGCTTCTAAAAGAAACAGCACTTAGTAAAAACCCCAAAAGAATATGCAGACACTGGGGCCACTACTGAAGCCAGGACTTTTTCTGGAATGATGCTTTTAGTCTATGGAATGTTTATTGAGCACCTATTATGTGCCAATTCCCGTGCTAGGTGTTTTTCAGTATCACTGAATGCCTTAAAACCAGTTCTTGAGGTTGAAAATGTTATTCCCATACTAAAGATGAAGAAACTGAGGCTCAGAAAGGCTAAGCAACTTGCCTAAGGTCACACAGCTAGAAATCCCTTCAAACATAGATCAGAATGTCAGGACTAGCTTCTGTTCTGAGCACATTCAAGGCTGGGTGTGGGGCTTTGGCCATCTGATGGGAGAAAGGTGGGACCCCCGCCCCTCCCAAGTGACCCTGGACCTAAGACTGAAGTAACGGTTGAGCCTCAGTAACTGAGGCAGTTGGGGAGAAGGTGCTTGTTATAGGGGAGAGAGCCCCTTAGGGTTAATACAGAAACCAACAAATAGGAACTTGAGTCACAGAATTCAAGAAGGTGTGTCACTATCTTTCTCCCCCCCATGCACTGAGTTGAGGTCTGGTGGTCACCACTATTTGAGAACTACAGGTCAGACACAGCCCCTGGAAACAGATGCTCTGTGGCTGGACAACACCATGTCGCTCACTGTGCTGGCAAGTAGCATGGAGCCAGTGTTAGCTTTGTTAATCAATGCAGTGGACCCATGAGTGCAGATGTGGAAGGGTGGATGGGATGCCAGGCCCCAGAACCTCCCGCTGGGGAGTGTGATGATGACCATCTTAATTGGTTCAGGGTATTTAAAACCTTAAGAAAGTTTTAATGAATTCCTTACCAGAAATTGTATCTGGCAAGAAAGTGCCAGGATTCCAGTTCTTATCATTCATCACTTCTGATCCCCAAAGACTTATAAATTTAGAACTATTCCACTCTGGAGTGTTCCCAAAACAGCTCGGGTAAATATGGTCTTGAAGAGATGCATTGAATGCCTGAGGCTTATTTGTGTGACTCTGAACAGGTGCTGGCGGTAAAGCCTACAAAAAAAAAGTTCTAATCACATATCAAAATTAATATTCTGTATACCTGTGTAGTTCAACTACAAACAGACAAATTGTGACTGAAACCTTGAGGGCTATGCTTACCGCAAGCCCATGTCCATGGGGAGTACATCTCACAAATGCTGGAGTGGAGGGTTACTTAGGAAGGCTATACATGTAGGTCGACTTTTAGTCCAAAGGTTCTTGATGCCTTCAGATAACTCAGCCACTTCTAACAGTCCTGTCTAGTCACACTTTAAATGTAGTTCCTATACATAAGAGCTATTCTGTGGCTGAAGTCTCCTTAGACGTACTGATCAACACTGTCAAATCAGTTTGGAAGCACTAATAACAATGGTAAGGTCTTTAGCTCTCAACTCTTAGCGCTGTGCAACACAGATCTCAAGAGCTGAGGAATTTTGGTTGTGCTCTGAAACTGGGGTGCTGAGTTACTCCCATTCCAGGGAGAAAGTCATTCCAACCTCATCACCATACTGGCCCAGGCCCTGAAAGGTCAGGGAAATGGAATGGGAAACAGTCAGTGGGCCAGTCAGCAATGCATATTTACTGAGTGCCAAGCTGCTGGCAACTCCCTGAACACACCCTAGGGCTCTCCCTGCTTGATACCTAAGAAAGTCCTGGAAGGGCTGTGCAATTTACACAGTTGCACTGCCATGCTGGCTTTCACATAGGGATCTGGGTCTCCTACCAGTCCTTTTCCTCAAGTGATCTTTACTTAGAATGTGGAGGTAGTTTTCTGCTACTTTTTAGATAAAAGTCAAAGTCTTTCCATGGCCCATGACATCCTAGGGAAATAAACACCTCCTCCTCCTTGCTTAGTAAGCCTGGCCACACACAAACTTCCTTTCTGGTCTCCATCTCTCTAACTTCTCTTCTGTTCTCATTTGCTCACCTGTGTCCAAGCTCTGAAACCTCTTCACATACACTCACTCCCAAGCCTCGGCCCAGATGACACTGTCCCAGAAATGCTGCCATTGTTTTTGCTTTCGCTACTCAAGATCCAACCCAATACCAAGGTGAGTCTCCCACTTAACACCTTGTGATTTGGCCTCCTCCTCCTTCACCTGCCAGAGCAGAATTCAAGACTGACTTGTAGAATGATATTCTAACTCTGCCTTCTCCTAAATCACATGCACTTCATGAGAAGATGGGCCACTGAGATCCTGACCCTATACCCCAGTCCTGGACAAAGTTGGGCATACCGTGTTCCTTTAGTAGAGTCAAGTACTGCTGAGATGAGTGAGTGGCCCATGCCCTGGGAAAGTCACAGACTTGGCATTAGGAAGGATGCCTGATGATCCCATTCTCTGTGATGTATAAATGAACAGTCGATTCTGTAGATTCGAGTTTGAGGGCTTCAGGGCAATTCCCAATTGCAAGTGATGGTCAGACGGAAGAAGGGACGATGACAAAGTTTGGGGATGGTCCATTAGATATGGACAGTAGAGGCTACATCAGAATTAACTATGTGATTGATTACTGTCCTTAAGAGTCAATCATAAGGGAATCATAAGGGTGTCAGGTCAGGAAAAGACAATCTGATCAGTTTATTAGAAAGGTCAGTTGTGGTAAGACAGTGATGATCAGCAAGGCAAAGATTTGCTGAAGTTGCTGGTTAGGTGATGAGATATGATGACATAATGGGGTGAAAATGGTGAAGAAAGGAGGGGTCTGTGAGTGAACCTTGAAGTCATCCCTGGCTCCATCATGAGAGCATGGCCAATGAGAGGTAAACAGAAACTGGGCATAAATCTCAGCCTCCCTTTTAGTAGCTGTGTGACCTCAGGCATATCACTCAATCTTTTGTGCTTTAGTTTTCTCATCTGAAATCTGGAAATACCTACCCTAGAGGTTTTGGTCAAGAAATACTGTGTCTTGCCTGCAGGAAGCATTGGTGAGGGCAAAGATGAATTCTTGGTACTTATTAGGACCATGCCAAATTATATCGGCTAGACCTGCTCTAACATGCAGAAACTTGGGCACTGACTCTACCCAGTCCACTGGCACACTGCATAATGTCCTCTAACCTGGAGGGCTCTGGGAGACTTTGACAGAGGGGAGACAGGTAAACAGAGCAAATATTCGGGGTCCAAAAGTATTATAGACAGGGGTAAAAGGCCTGGATGGACCACTTAAAAGCAAGGCTCTAAGCAAGCTGTTTTGGTATGGGAGCCCCAGGAGGCAAAAAGCAAGGAAAATAACGATATTACATTTTAACAGTCACTTGGTTCCACAAAGTAATAAAAAGGATAAGATATCTTGCTGAGATATGCTGATAAACAACAAGGAATTTGGGAACCTTTGGCTAAGGGGCAGAAACACCTGCTAACATACCTCAGCCTGCTTATTAGCCAGGGTGTGGGATGAGATCTGAGCAGAAACACCTCCAGGACTCTGAGCTACTTAAGAGTGTCCGGAGGGCTGGAGAGATGGCTCAGTGGTTAAGAGCATTGTCTGCTCTTCCAAAGGTCCTGAGTTCAATTCCCAGCAACCACATGGTGGCTCACAACCATCTGTAATAAGGTCTGGTGCCCTCTTCTGGCCTGCAGGCATACACACAGATAGAATATTGTATACCAAATAAATAAATATTTAAAAAAAAAAAAGAGTGTCCCGAGACTCTCCTTGGACACAGCTGTGCACTATCTGGCTTAACCTCTGGTCCCTCGCCTCTACAACATTCATGTCTAGACCCTTGTTCACACTTTACAGTGCCCTCTACTCTGTGATGACCTCTACTCTGTGATGACGCTTGTATTCCATTCAGGTCTGCTCTCCAGTAATACTTTCCTACCCAATGTCTATTCACAAGCTATCTGAAGCATGACAAAGTGTCCTTTCTGCTGTGGCTCAGGGGATGTAAACAAGGGCCTTGTGCATACTAGGCAAGTGTTTTACCACTGAGCAACGTCTCCAGGCTTGCCACAGAATTTGGCATTTTAGTTTGATTATGTTTTTGCCTTTTCTATTGAAACACCAGGAATAACTAACCTGGGTGTTTCTAAAATGCAGCACAGGGCCTGGCACATACCGGGTGTTCAATAAATGACTGCTGAACACAGCTTAGTTCGGGGGAAGAAAGACCCAACGACATTTCGTCAGAGGCCCACCTACTTAAAGAGGAGTAAAGGGCAATTTCAGTAAAGTGAGAGGATAGCAAACAAAAAAGTTGTACTATTGTCAATACTTTTATACATGATGCCTGCTGACTTTAAAAGCATCAATGTTCATTCCAAGAACAGCTGTTTGCTAAGTGGACTACTGTGGGGTTTGCTTTGTGAGTACACAAGTGATTAATCAATGAAGTCAGGTTCTTCACACAAATTCACAAAGCTTCAATTAACAGTAATTTTGAATTGTTCTCTACTTTATGACAAAAAGTAACTCTTAAGGAAGAATATTCTTTGCTGTATGTAAAAACTCTGACAAGAATGCAAACAAATACACCTTCATAAAGCTGTAATCATTTAGGAGTGGGTGATCTAGTCTGTCTTCCCTACCCACACCAGTTCAGACACCAAGACTGAAGGATGGCATGCCAAGCCATCAATCAAGATATGAGACTATTAACTGAAGAAACTTCCACTATACAGTCAGACCAACAGGAATTCCAGCTAATTACAAAGTTAACACAAATGTTCCCCATTTCTATTTGTTTGTTTGTTTAGGTTTTTCAGGGATAGTAAAGAGGCAATGACCTTTGTCCTAGCATTACTATTCTGAGGCTAGAGGAAATAAGCACTACCCCTTATAGAAAACACACCCAACATCATAACAAAATCCCCTAGCATGAGCTATTTTCCACACTGCATATCCCCACAGTGCCCTGAATCGGAAGGAAAAGCATTAAAACGGGAATCGCAGAAACCATGCAAACATGGAAACAATAAAGTATACTTAGAATACTGAAAGAAAATCCCACACACTTAGGATTATGCACTCAGTAAATTAATCCTTCAAAAGTGAAGGAGAAATAAAAACTTCCAATGTCTAAGGATCTCACTGACTCTGCATGAAACTAATTGACTTTTTTCAGACAGAAAGAAACTATACAGGTCGGATGGCTACAGTCCACATATAGAAAGATCATAACTAAATGCAACATAAAAATATTTTCTCATATTTCTTCATGATCTGACGACAACTGCTATCTTCATGTGAAATCTGGGAGATCAACTTATGGACAGGAAATGCATCCAATACTATATGGAAAAGGTGGAGAAAGGCGGAGGCATTTTCCTGAAGCCACTTGGGCCACGAGCAGGGCTTGACAGTACAATCTCAATGGGAACTTAGTTAAGGCACACTGTAGAGTTCAGGGCAACAGCAAGACATAAGTATTACTGATACATCATAAGGTATTCTAAAGTATAAAATATAAACAGAAGCCTTTGAAAATGAATATAAAACAGGTACACGGTTGATAATAATCCAAATATATTAAAAAATCATTCTTATCAACATTACGATCCATAAAAATATGAAAACATCAATGAAAAACAGAAGCACAAGGTATAAGAAATTCAACTATACCTATCTAGGACACCCATTCCAAAAGATTTATTTTGCCGGGCAGTGGTAGCGCACGCCTTTAATCCCAGCACTTGGGAGGCAGAGGCAGGCGGATCTTTGTGAGTTCGAGACCAGCCTGGTCTACAAGAGCTAGTTCCAGGACAGGCTCCAAAACCACAGAGAAACCCTGTCTCGAAAAACTTAAAAAAAAAAAAAAAAAAGATTTATTTCTATTACCTTAAATTATGTGTTGTGGGGTGGGTATGGGTATGTGCATGGGAGTAAAGATATCCATATAGGCCAGAGGCATAAGATCCCTCCGAAGTTGGAGTTACGAGTTCTGCGTTGCCCAATGTAAGTGCTGTGAACTGAACTTGGGTCCTTTGGAAAACAGCACACACACTCTTAAACTTGAGCTATCAGTCTAGCCACATAAACTTACTTTAAATACTCTAGTAAGTTAA